CTTCTAACTGTTGCAATGTCTGTCCAAAGCCTGTATTCGCCTACCCAATTGGTCCCACAGATGCTCTATAGGGTTGAGGCCAAGGAAGAGTGTTGACGGATTCATTCTCTAAATAAGCCTTTACTGCCCTAGAGCGATGAGGTCTAGCGTTGTCATCCATGAATAAAGGTCTTGACGCTAACGTGTGGTTGTCAAAATGAGGCACAACTACAGGTGTAAGCACGTCCCTGGTGTACTTTTCGCCAGTAAGGTTGCCATTGATTGTTACCAAATCCAGCTTGCAATCATGCGAGACACAGCCCCATACCATAACTGAGCCCCCACCAAAAGGCACTGTTGGAACAATGTTTCTTGGAGTGTAAGCTGCATTACCTCCAAACACGGGTTCGACCATCAGTGAATATGACTGAAAAATTTCATTTTTTTCTGAAAAGGTGGTGTCTATTTACTTGTGACCACGCTGTGTATAATCAGAATACTTACCCAATATTTACAGAAATGTTGAAGAATTTAAATATTAATGAAAAGGATAGGAAACACGTGGTATGTCTCCATATCACAATACTAAACTAAAGCATGCAAGGACCAAAAGAGGGTTAGTAAATTGGTTCTAAGATAGAAGGGTTATAATTACCTTAAATCTGGTCCGGCCCTCCGTGATTCAGCAGTAAGACTAAAGAATTTTAACGCTAGAATTGGGGTTCAATAATAGCGGTGAGAAAAACACAGATAGTCCATTGTGCAGCTTTGTGTTTAACAGCAAACCAAAATCTTCATGGGGAGCCTAAATAGATGATTCTGAATAAACCTGGTGCCTTCATACTGTGCTCGAGTTAATATAATGAGGATATTATCTAATAATATAGAACAATGAAAATACAAAGGTGTTAAAAATTGGAAATCATAATTCACGTAATAGTTTGTTTCTTTTAGCGCAAAGTCACATTGTGCTATCTGCTGTGTCCACCACAGTGATGTCCCGGCATAGCCAGGTGGTTAGGGCACTCAACTCGCAATCTGTGGGATGGGAGTTTTAATCCCTGTCCCACCAAACATGCTCGCATTTTCAGTCGTGGGGCGTTATAATGTGACGGTCAATCCCACTATTCGTTGGTAAAAGAGTAGCCCAAGAGTTGGCGGTGATGACTAGCTGCCTTCCCTCTAGTCTTACACTGCTAAATTAGGGACGGCTAGCGCAGAGAGCCCTCATGTAGCTTTGCGCGCAATTCAAAACCAAACAAACTACCACAGTGAATTTAATCCAGGATTTTAGCGTTGTAAGTGCGTGGACATACCGCATCACACCAGAATACTTGCAAAAGATAAAAGTAAGGAAGATAAAATTCTATTCATTCCAACAAGTAACCTGATGATGATTTTTTTTATTTTCACATTAACAGTACTGAATCTCGTGCAAAGTTCCACGAGGGCTATCTGCGCTAGCCATCCTTAATTTAGCAGTGAAAGAGTAGAGGGTTTGGTTTGGTTTTGAATTTCGCGCAAAGCTACACGAGGGCTATCTGCGCTAGCCATCCCTAATTTAGCAGTGAAAGAGTAGAGGGAAGGCAGCTAGTCAACACCACCCGCCGCCAACTCTTGGGCTACTCTTTTACTAACGCAAAGTGGGATTAATCATAACATTATAACGCCCCATGACTGAAAGGGTGAACATGTTCGGTGTGACGGAAATTCGAGCTCGCGACCCTCAGACTACGAGTCGAGCGCCTTTACCACCAGGACTTGATGATTTGTAAAAAATCATTTCTTACATCACTGTTTGTTCGGCCTATGTCAATTTATTTTAATCATACGATGAATCAGTAATAAGCTGCAGAAAATATAAAATTAAACTGGTAGGTTTGATACCTGCTATAGACAGTGTCCATTGTGTAATTTTGCGCTAAAATTAACAGAAAAAAACTTTATGTATTGTTTTGTGACACAAGCTAATGAAAGAACCGTAGATAAACGACTAAACATTGATATTGATTTGTGACGTATGGTGCGCTGAATACAACGTTATCGCGGCGAAAACCAAAACCAAAACCAAAACCTGTAAGTGCGTGTGTTGGAACTGCAATTACGGCACATTCACGTTACGTAGATAGAAGAGAGGAAGTGTTAATTCTGTTGTCAGTGTAAGTAGTGGGTACGTTTTCAGATTCAAGCGAATTTTGTATTTTACAATTGTATTTATGCATCTATGTAGCGTTTTTCAAAATTAATTGTTGCGTGCGATTACTAGCATACTATGTAGTAATAGTATTATTAGTAGTATATTAATATTTGTGCTAATCTAAATCTTACAGCTTTGAAAGACTTGTTGTTTTATTGTTTGTTTTGCTTGCGCCTTGTCGAATTTGCAAATTACAGTTAAATACTAAAATTTTGAAAAATAGATAAGAAGCCTCTTGGTATAACTGCATTACTTAAGTTGCTTTGCTTTCACAGTTTCAGAATTGCGAATGTCCAGTTTCTTTGAATATGTTACAAAAGTGTATAATTTTGACAGTAAGTAACGTGAAAATCGTTTTAATTCACGAATGAATTGAATTTAGTAACCGGATATTCATGAAAAATGCTTCACTCGGTATGGCATTTGACAGTTCTTTCAGTTTGAGTAATGAAGTGCAAAATACTTTTGTTGTATTACTATTATCGAGATTGTACAGTGCTAGTGTGTTTGAGGATAGGCAATGTTTTAGTGTTTTTCATTGTGTCTGAATCCAAAGGCCACACATGAATAAATATGTGAGTACTTTCCATTAAAGTTCTACTAAGTAACAATTCTTGTTTAATGTAATAAGCTACATTATGTAAGAAAATGAAAAACGTAATATTTGAGTAATGTAATACTGTTATGCAGTATCACTTTCAGTGTACTTGTGTAAATTAGCACATTATGCTAGCACAATATTAAATTGGCAAACAATGATTTATAAGTATAATGAAAATTATTTTATGTAGAGAATATAATACATGTTTCAACAGAAAATTGGTCTGTCTTAATCAGGTGCATAGAAGATAGATCAATGTTCCAAGAAAATGTAGTAAGTTCTCTACATAAAATGAGTTTCATTATTTTCATAAATCATTGTTTGTCACTTTACTGTTACTGACTGTCAGTGATGAACATTCATGTCTGTGCCAATTACCATAGCCTATACGAGTATGACTGTACATCATGATGGCTTAGGAATGATGGAATTATAAACATTTTGGATGTTTTATAAGGAAGTCTAATTTTATGTATGAAGTGCCCTGTATGCATAATCATAATTTCGAATCCAATATCTTACCTTCTTTCACAAAATGGAATTTCTTGACTAGCACTGCCCACTAACGGTGTTAATTTTCTGTGCATGACACTAGCCTTCCACCTTCCACTTCTGCATATCCACATGCAAATGATCATTAAGCAGCTCTCCACCATCAACACAGTAGCCCTGCTTTTCAAAATAGGGTGTCAAGGTCACCAGTTGCATTGTCTCCGCTGGTGCAGTCCTTCAGACTGTCCAATATGTTTTTCCTCCCTATTTCTTCTAGAGGAGTCCTAACCATTTACCGGTTCCTAGCCACTGGGATGGTGGACCACAGAGACCTGTCTTACTTAATGATGAATCATACCACTCAGTTGAGAGTAGGGCAGTGGCATTCAGCAGATGTTGCTGATGTATAGCACTTCCTACCCTGGACCTGATGCACAATTCCAGGTGCCACCAGATTTTGGTTGTTGCACTACACTGTATTCCTCTCTACATGTTTAACCGATTGTTTTTTCTTTCCATGGCATTCCTTCTTCCTGTCATCCTCCAGGTGTACATTCCCAGTGTGTCTGGTTTAGGTTGGAGATGGCCTGGTCACAAGTTGTATCATGTATAGATGGTGTGACACTCTACCTACTGCAGACCTGATGTACAATTCCAGATGCTGCCAGGTTTTGGTTGAAGCACTCTGCCATATCACAAATATATATATATACATACATCTAATTACAGTTTGTCCCTCAGGCTAAGATGCTCCTCCCTACTATCCTCCAGATGTACATTTCCAATGTTGGTTGGAGATGGTCCAGTTAAATAAGTCTTCACATTTGTGCTGGCCAGTTTTCCTCCTCCTACCATGGACTGGGTGTCAAATGTCCACTGCCATCAGGTTTTGAAATGAAGATGCACCCAAGGCTTGCGGCCTCTCTTTCTACCATATTCTGGATGTCAGTTCCCAGCAGATTTGGTGTTGGTTTTAGCTGGACACAGCACATGCTTTCCTGCTTGTGTACAGCCAGATATCCTCCTCCTACTGCGGACAAGAAGTACTATATCCACTGCCATCAGGTTTTGGACCGGAGATATCATTCCTCCGGGGCATTCCACTTTCCTACCATCTGCTGGATGTCGATTCCCAGCAGATTTGGTGTTGGTTGTGTTGGAAATGGGTGGAAGCTCGTTTTTCCTACCAATTCCTGTTTCAAGGTGAAGAGGTAAGTGATCTTCTACATACCACTGATCTGATGTACCATTCCAGGTACTACCTGGTGTTTCATTTGAACCCTGAAAATATTACTTTCATCTAGTTTGTACATGCATATGACTGGTAAGGTCGCTTTCAGATTAATATTTCACTTTGGACTCATTATTTTACAAAATGTTATTGCTATACACAGTGCTCCAGGTAAGGGGCATTCCGGCATAATTTCTGACCAAAAATCACCCATTTATGGCCTTAAAAATTGAGAAGTTGTTTTACTGCCATAGAAAAAGAAATATGTCTCCTGCTGCTTTAATGGCAGTATAGTAATTAATGGGTGCATTCTTGTAGCTTTCTGCAGTTTCGCACAAGAACTATGCAATTCACACAGTAGAGCTGCAAAAAGCGGTGCTCTCTAACTGCCAGAAGTTTCTATTGGCGCACTCATGAATGACCCAATATTGTGCAAAAATAAATAAAATAAAAAGTAATGTCATTATTTGTGTTTATTATGACTACATCTGGTGACTTAATTTGTTAAGTTAATCCTGTGCCATATTTCACCTTTTGAAATAATAAAATAATTAGTTAAATTACTTTTTAATTACAAAATGTGACTGCTCCACTTTGTAAAAAGAATTAAAATTACTCCTGCTGACAGAATTCAGGGACTGATTAATCCTTACAGAGAAAAATTATCTGGAGCACTAGCTAATACAAAGACAAATGTAATAACTTATGGTTTAAAAAATTGAACTTTGAAGGACATGCTAGGTTGTTCAGGTTGTGTTTATGAACAGTGAATCTTCAGAAAAGAAAACGATAACCTCACTATAGAAATATATTTTTAAGCAATTTCTTGGTATTACATATTAAATTTAAAATGATATTGTATATTTAGTAGAAGGAATATGTTATGGCTTTCTGGGTTAATCAGAAGTTGTATGTCAAATATTAAGTTTGGCATCATGTCAATTGAGTAAAAACTATTAATAATCCAAAAGTACCACAATACACAGAAACAACAGAGATAATTGTGCCTAAGACCAGGTTAGTATCTTGGTTTATCTCCAAGTAGTGGTACCTGATAAGTATTTGTGAACCATTGATGATGTTTGTTAATGCACCTAGAAGACAACAGCCAAGCCCGTTCCCTTGGCTGTGGTTTCGCTAGATAGTAGATAGGGACAGTGGGAATCTCGTTAATCCATTCATGCGGTTTTTTGATTGTCCGTGGAACAGAGTTAAAGAAATATTGATGAGGTCAGTTTTATTGGCAAATGTTTTAAACTAATACATAAAGTTTGTCCCTTTTTAATTTTTTTACTTGGTCCCTTATTTTTTGTGCTTCAACTAAAAGCCATTCAGTTTTAGATTTGAAAAACACCAGAAACATTATTTGAAGGAGCTGTTTATTCTAATTCAAAGAGAGTAAAGCCAAACCTGATCATTTTATATAACATCCATGTTGATATTGTTTTTTTCTCTCTCTTTTTATGAATATAACTTGTGTTCTATTTTCATATATTTTTAATATATGACCCTCTATATGTTTTGCTTCTTTAGAATTCAATGCCAGTTGATTAACTATCATAGTAAAGTATATAGTAGTTTTGTATTTCAGCGTATTGTTGTTGGTATAAAGGTACCATAGCATGGAAAAAATGACTAGTGTTATTATGTTTGTAAAACATGTACTTCCTATATAAATATTTCTGTACTTGATTTAGGTTTTGTTTTGTAACTTACTGTATTGATATTACTAGTGAATAATTTGCTAGTTTTTCACACTAAATCTGTTCTTACTTCAGAGCTATCTGCAAGATAAAATGAATGAACAAGGGCTTCATGGCAAAGTAATAGAAAAGAATGAACAGACATGCTATGGCTATATTACACCAAAAGAATCACTTCCACTTAATTTTATGAACAAAAATGTGCACTTTCACTATAGTTGTGTTAAAGATGATTGTAGCATAGAAGTGGAAGATGATGTTTTGTTTACATTGGAACCGACATCTTCATTAAATCCAACCGCCTTGATTGTGTGGAAGGAAGAGAGTGAAAAATGTAGGGACAAAATGCAAGGTGCTCAGTCAAGTAGGGTTCTTCCTTTCTACCCCAAATTCAGTCATCATACTATTAAGCAGAGAGATGACAAGAAAGAAGAAACCATAACTGAAAACCCTAAAACAACACGTGAGTTGAAATATAATGCTTTTATTCACTTTATTATCAAAGTAAATGAAATTTATTTAAATGCAGTAGAAACAAGAAATAAACCTTTGATTTATAATTATGTTTTACACATAACCTATAAAAATAAATATTAACGAGTACAGAAACTTAATGTTTTAATAGTTATATTTATTCACAAAAAAAATCCCTTTTTTTTCAGAAATATTTAATTTGTATCACTGTTTTATAGATTTTAATTTTTAAGAATTATATTATGAATATAATATCTTGCAGAAAACATTGCACAAGCACCATAAAATAAAATACTGTTTTAACATGAAAATATTCTACATTTTAAATAAATAGTATAAAGATATAATAAAGAGCTAGATTCTGATGAAGTAAGAAATAGTGATATTTTTATATGGGATATTAAAATTAATAGCTTTTAATAATTAATTCATCTTTCATTTTCATTTTTTATAAATGATAAAAATGTTATAGATAGTTTTATATTTTAGAGAAGAAGCTTTAGTAGATACTTCCTTGGTAAAAAAGCAACTGCTTCGTGAATATTGATTCAATCACTCTATTAAAATGCTTGATTTGAATAAACTGGAAATGAGGTGTTTCTCAGTGTCATGTGTTGCTACAAGGGCTTGCTTGGTAACCCCTCAATAAGATTTTCAATAAGCACCTCATTGTGACCTCCAGGAGATATTGTAGGAAAAGTGAAAGTCCATTATAATCTCCATAAATCTTCCACATAAGCAGATAAGATCCTTTGAAATACTCACATTCAGTCTTTGAATTTAAGCCTATGAATCGCTCGTCTCTCCATGGGATTTAATGTGTGGCCCAGTCATTAAGTTTTTCCTCACCCCAATGCTCTAGAATATCTAGCACTTGACTATCTAAACTGAGCTGCATCCATTCATTCTAAGTAACATTTTTCAAATGTTTGATGAGATAGATTGATGTAATAGGTTTAGTATTTTTACCTCGCCACCAAGTTGTGTCCAGAAGTTCTAACTGCCAAGATTGGGCTGAAATATTAGTTGGAATTTATGTTCTTTTTGAGGTTGGATACATGTATATCCTGAGGAATGCAGAGTCCTTGAGCTAATTCCTCAATGGCATGTGATAGCACAGGCCATAATTCATTGTTGTGATGTACTTCGTATGATATCAAACGTTTTTATCACATTCCAGGTTATTCTCAACCACTGGACAATGTTTTGGAGCATCATCAGCTTGCTTTGCCAGCATGCTGGATCATAATAAAGTGACAACTGCTCTACCTAACAGAATTGCAATGAAATTTGGCTACAACAAGTACAGCCCTTTGTGACTCCACACACTGCCTTGCAATACCAGAGCTTGTCCATGAGCTCCCTGGAGTCACATTCAAGCCACTCTCTGATACCATGATCCTTTTCAGCTGCCCTATACTCTTGCATATGGTGTATAACTATTAAAAGTTGTATCAGAAGAGCCCAGAATTGTGAAGCAAGATGCTCTTCTACCTCTTGGTCCTGAGAAAGGATTGAGAATGTCAACATTGCTCTTACCACCATTCTGGTGAAACTTTGAGTCCAGAAGAATGCTCCTTTTCAACCTTACCAAATTCTCGGACTAATTCTTACCACACCATAGATTATTCATCTCTGCCATTTTACTTACATGGTCTCAGAAAGTTACCTTCTACAATCACATGAATTACAAACTTTAGTGTACCAGAGAGTTGACAGCAAAAGAAGTACATTCAAAATAATCTTTACAGTGACCAAACTTTGGTGACAGCGACAAAATGTTACTTTATAATTAGTCTGTGGTAATCAGGTTCATTCATGTACAGTTGAAAAGGCAAATGTTTCTTCAAGAACAAGACTTCAGGACTTTTATGTGAAGAATAAGTTGAACATGGACAATAAAGGAGAACTAGTGAACACAAGTTTACTCTGAAACACAAAATTCATAATGTTACTAACACTAGCTGGGCCTCTTCCATATGACTATGACATACTTGGTACAAGTTAGTATGGGTTGATGGTTAACTGTTTTAAAAGTACATAATGAAAAAAGTGACTGATGTAAACAAAAAAGAATTGCTCTAGATTTCAGAAGTAAGATACTAGTGATATATATCATTATCCATGTTTAAGTATCGTACAAAAGTGTCTAGAAGTTCATTTATCCTTTGAAAGCTAATAGAAGTATCTGAATACTTATCATAGAAACTAGTCTGTTTGAAGCCCCAGCATTTCATCACAGTGTCATTGTATTTATTTGTTTTTTTCTTTACCGGTGTGCTTGAGACTTTTCTTTTGTTGTCGAAGCTCAATTTATTCCCAGCTTAACTTATCACAGGGTCTGCTGTGTCTTGCAGATATACTTAATACTAGCCTGTTGGTAATCAGTTTTCCTGAACACCACACATGTATATGTAGTTCAAATAAGTGGCTTATGAATTTTATATATGTTCATTTTCATGTACTTTTGTTTGTTGTTAAGCATAGCTATATACCATGGGCTATTTGTACTGTGCTGTGCCCATTGCAGCTATTAATAAACAGTTTTTAACATTATAAACTTTCAACTTACCACTGAGCTACCACAAGTGGGCTTTCATGTATGTTTGTAAATAATGATGGGGATTATACAACCTTTTTTACTTTTTTCACGTGTATTATTATAGTAAGCAATACAAAATAGCATAACATTTATTTTTTCTTTTTGTTTCAGAGAATGTTAGGCATATCAAAAGAAATGTGAAAGAGTTCAAGCTTTGTGGTCAAGTTGTTAAAGTGGTTCATGACAAATTTTTTGGTTTTATCAAACCAGAGGAAATGCTTCAGCCTGAGTTTACAAAAAAGGATGTGTATTTTCATTTTAGTGTTATACAACCTTCTGGTAATATAGAAGAGGGAAATCATGTGTTTTTCACATTGAATCCTAAATATTTAACAAAACCAACAGCTTTAACAGTATGGAAAGATGAACAAACCCAAAGAGGCAGGAAAACAAGTAGAGGACAAAGGCCTCCATCACGTAGTCTCTCTTCTTCCTGCTCAGAAGACAGTTTACAAGGCAATGAAAAATCTGGAACTTATAACGAAGGAAATGTTGCTCGTGACTATAAGCAGTTTCAGTTCCAAATGGAGGGAAGGGTAGAATTTTTAAAGTCTGAAAATATTGGTTTTTTAAAGGTGCTTGGAGACTCTGAAAAAAAAATTAATAGTAACGTTTTTTTTGTTCCAGCTACAGTACTTTCTACTTTTATTCCACTTGAAGTTGGTGATATAGCAGAATTTAGTCTCAGTGACAAAAATATAGAAAAACCACATGCTTTTCGAGTCAGATTGATTCGTTGTAAAATGAGATCTGTAGAGGTTATTAAGCAGCACTTGAAGCGTATATACACACTTTTATCATCAGGCACAGAGGAAGAACAAAATGCTAAATCAACTGATATTGTTCAGATTCTGTGTGCTTTACCTGTCTGGAAATGTATAGGTGATTGTAAAAATATGTCGTTTGATACGATTGAAATGCTAGTTAGAACACTTTGTATTTTAAAATCTAACTCTCCTGGTTTCAGTGGATTATTTAAAAGTGTTTTACAAACATTAGGAGAAACTGAGTTTTTTAACCCATGGAAAGGTAACCTAAAATGGTTCATAAACAACTTGTCATTAGAAACTAAATGGGAGATGTTGCCAGACCTTCAACAGTTTCTTGTGATGTTCATACAAAATGTGCCTGAGAAAAGTCGAGCAGTTGTCAATTCTTTAAAGCCAGTTGTTCAAAAGAGTGAACACCCTGTCCAGAAATTACTGTATGCATTACTGAAAGAAATGATAAAATCCTCAAATGGAAATGTTGATGATATGGAATGGAATGAACTTCCTCTTGTACCAGCAATGTCTGAACTTTCTTCTGGTCCTCTAGAGACTTATATTAACCTACGCAGAGTAAATTCACAAGGGCCATACTCATCTGCTGAAGATTATATGGACATCTACTTCCGTTTGCTGAGAGCAGACTGTTTTGATGCTTTGAAAAAGGGAATAAAGAATTTTCTTTCTGGGAATCTAGATGTAAGAGACATGAAGGTATATTATGATGTGTATCTTGTGGGAGTGCAGGTTACAAGTCATGGTCAAGGCCTAGCTGTTGCACTAAAACTGAAACCATTACAACCTGTTGAAGATTGGAACATTTGCTCTAATTTAATGTTTGGAAATTTGTTATGTATTTCACCGTCAGGCTCATTTAAAGACTGTATTTGGGCTACTGTTACAAACAGAGAACTTCTTAAAACACATGAAATTGTAATTGCAGAGCTATGCTCAGATTGCAACTCAGTCTCTGACTCGGAAGCTATCTTAATACTACACAATTGCAGTAATTACACAATAATGGCAGAATCTCCCACATACTACAAAGCTTATCAACCAGTTCTGAAAGCCTTACAAAAGATGAACCCAGAGACATTGCCATTTTACAGAGAACTTGTTGAGACTAAGATATCAAGCCTTCCAACTTACATCAAACCTAATATGTATACATTACAAAACATCAACATATCTATTGAAAACACTTTTCTAGATAAAAGCCAAGAGGAGGCAATTCTACAAACAATGAATAACAGAGTAGCAATTATACAAGGGCCACCTGGTACAGGGAAGAGCTTTGTAGGCATAAAACTTGTGCAGTTAATACTTTCTTGTGCAACCAAACCAAATGGGCCAATACTTGTTCTAACATATAAAAACCACATTCTGGATGAGTTTTTAAAAGATTTAATAAAAAATGGCATTAATAATATTGTTAGGATTGGTGGAAGATCAGATGAAGAAGAACTACATAATGTGAACTTTAATAAAATACAGAGGTCATCAAGAATGACCTCTGTTTTGTTTAAAGAGGTAAGACGACTTCAGTCAGAGATTAAAGCCATGAAGTCTAGAATTGAAGAATCTTTTAAGATCTTAGAAGAAACAAGATACTTCAGTGTAGAGGTGTTCTTGAAGCACATCAATGTACAACAAGCAACACGATTTTTATCAAATGTCTTCAGAAATTGTATGAATCAAACGAATTCTAAGCAAAACCAGAATTTTCTTAAAGATATTCATAAGATTGTGAACTTTAAAGATGAACAATGGAAGAGTGCATTAGCTAAAACTCCTGAAGTAGTGTCAGCAGTGAATTACTGGTGTCCTGCTGATTCTGTCTTTAATGCAGTCAAAACACAATGGTGTAAATACTTGAGTTTTCAAGAATACAAAGGCAATACTGTCATGCAGTTCAGCAGTGATAAAGTATTTGATGAGAAAGATGTTGAAGATGAGATGAAGGAAAGAATTGCATCAACTTTTCAAAAGAAACCCATCTTGAAGAAAGAAGAATTGCTGAAAACATTGATTTTAAATAAAGAAAGAGGTGAAAAAATTAAAAGATCATGTTTGTTTCCTGTAACTAAATCTATTTCCACCCATATTTCATTTGCCAATATTCTTTTTGTAGAAGACTTATGCAGCCTCACACCTGAAGAAAGAGTCAAATTCATCCAAGCTATTTTGTTGAAAGAATATGAAGATGCCAGTACTGACTTTCAAAAACTTCTTCAAGAATATCAACAATTATGCAAAGTAAAAACAGAAATTGAATCTCAACACAAAACCGATGTTTTGAAATTTAAATCTGTTATTGGGATGACAATAACTGGAGCAAGTATACATAATGATTTGTTAGTAAATGTTAAGCCACCAATCATTTTGGTGGAAGAAGCTGCAGAAGTTTTGGAACCACAGTTGGTCGCTGTTCTGGGTGAATGGGTGCAACATTTGATTCTAATTGGAGACCATAAACAACTCAAGCCATCTGTTGAAAGCTACACTCTTGCTAAAGATTTTGGTCTAAATCTGTCTATGATGGAAAGACTTATTAATAACAATTTGCTGTATGTTACTCTAAAAGTGCAAAACAGAATGAGACCAGAATTTGCTGATTTACTTCTAGATATCTATCCACAACTACAAAGCAACCTTGCTTGTGTTTGCAACAATGAAGCTCCAAACTGCATAGAAAAGTCTATGTTTTTCTGGGACCATGATAATCCTGAAAACAGAGCAAGAAGCTATTCTAATGATGAAGAAGCAGACCGATGTGTACGCCTAGCATTATTTCTTATTCAGCAAGGATATAAGCCCAATCAGATAACAGTGCTTGCTGCATATCAAGGTCAAGTTGTATTAATTAGGAAGAAATTTCAGATGGCACAACTCCTTGATGAAAAACAAAATACTGAAAGTAAATTAGGAAACGAACACAGCAGTGTTGGTGTTTACACAATTGATCTCTATCAAGGAGATGAAAATCAAATAGTTATTGTTTCACTTGTGAGGTCAAATGAACAAAATAATATAGGCTTTTTGAAAGATAATAATCGTAGATGTGTAGCTCAATCTCGAGCAAAATGTGGCTTGTATTTTATTGGCAACAGTGTAACTCTTTCCACTTATTCCCACTGGAAAACATTAATAGAAAAAATGAGAGAATCTGGATGTGTTGACACGGTTTTGCCCCTTTACTGTCCCGATCATAAATTTTCCAGTATAAAGGCAAAATGTGCAGCCGACATAAATTTAGGATCTTTTTGTGTATCCCTTTGTTTACAACTAATGCCATGTAAAAATCATCGCTGCTTTCAGTTGTGTCAACCCAAACATCAGCATGATAAATGTGAAAAAGAAGTTTCTGTAGGATTAACCTGTGGTCACACAGTAAAGAAAAAGTGCCACATTCCAATTACAGAAGTTATTTGTCAACAGGAAGTTTCCTTTGTATTTGAGCTCTGTAATCATCGAGGTACAAAACCGTGCTTTGAAAAAATAGAAAATGTTAGATGTGAAAAACCTTGCCCAAGATTATTACCTTGTAAGCATTCTTGCAGTCTAGAATGTAGCCAAGAGTGCAACCCAAATGACTGTGAAGATTGTGATCGTATTAAGCTAGAAGAGGATGAAAGGCTGCGTAAAATGGAACAAAGAATTCGAGACAAGGCAAAACAAGATGCAAAAATCCAGCTTACAAAGCTAAGACAAGAAACATTAGAAGATTACAGGATTGAGTTAAAACCAAAAGGAGATAGTGCATCTGAATACTTTGATGTTCATGATCGTGTCAAGTTATACATTCACCCAGAGCACAACTGGTTTCCTGTGGTGAAAAAAATTGAAAAATGTTTTTCCTTAAAATTGCAAAAAGATTGGCTAGAAACAAAACTGAAAATGCAAGACCCCACTCGAAATGAGCTAAAGTTTCATGGAACCAGTGCTGAATGTGTAGAATCTATCATAAAGGAAGGATTCCAAATTCCTAAACCACAAAATCAGATGTATGGACCGGGTATATACTTTGCCAGTAACTCCTCAAAAAGTGCCCAAACAATATACACAAAAGGTTCAAACACACTTTTATTATGTGATGTTCTATTAGGAAAGTCTTGGACTGTAAACACTGCTCAGAAAGATATGACCTTACAGAAACTGAAGAAAAAAGGTTACGATTCACTTTATGCACAACGTGGAACAAGAAAAACTGGTGGTGTTTTGAATGATGAGTATGTCATTTACAATCCTAACCAAGCTTTGCCTAAGTATATAATTTTATATGAAACAGTTGATCCTAAATTTTCTACACTAACAGGTTGTTTGGAAAGAGCAGCCAAGACTGATATTGAACATCACAATATAAAACCTAAACGCAACATAGATTTTAATGATCCTTTAGACATCCACTTTCGAATAGCCGAGTCACAATTTCTACGATTGCTTATAAACTACACGGATATAAACAAATACAAAATATTGTCAGTTGATTATTATATTACTCGGTCATTGGTTCAAGCTTTTAATCAAGAAAAAAAAAATATGCAGAAAAAATATGGATGTGCAGAAGAAATACTTGCTTTTCATGGAACACCAAGTAATAATGTAAAAGAAATTGTGAAGAACAACTTTAAACTTGAGAAACTTGGAGCCAATACTGGAAATATGGGTGCATATGGAGCTGGAATTTATTTCTCCGAGTTTCCTACAGTAAGCTTATTCTATGGCAAAGGTCTTTTGCTATGTAAAGTTCTTCTTGGGAAATCCTACAAATGTGATAACACAATGGCTGGTGCTCCTTTGCAGCTGGGATACGACTCTCACATTAATCAAACTGATGAAGATGGCAGAGGAAAAGTAATAGTTGTATTTAATCCTAATCAGATATTACCATGCTATGTAATCAACTTTGAAATATAATAGTCCTTCATCTATGCCTTTAAAATGTGGACTCTGTTTTTAGTTTTGATTATTGAGATTTTTTGTTACAGAATAAATGGGAAAAGTGTTTAGCTTCCAAACCTCTTGCCCGTTTCAAAGCCAGCAACTACCCTGGAACAGATTACTTGTTATTTAAATGATTGACCAAACACAGGGTAATGTTTTTTTCTATATGCATACCAGAGATGAGTTATACCTAGTTTTAACTTTCTCTTTTCTCACTGCCGACATACAAGTGGACTGTACAGAAAACATGGTGGACAAAGTACAGGTAGCTCGTGGTATAACTTAGTTAGTGCTCACTAACAAACCAAACCAAATCTGATGAATACTGTTTAAAGTTATATAAGTGAAAAAATGGGTATTTCACGATTTGTTAATGAAGTGTATACAGGATCAATTGTAAGTAATGATTATAGAGCAAGTTAATTACTTAAATTTTCCTGTTTTTACTAAAATCCATGAATAAAAAGGAATAAGAGAATTGACTATAATATATGTATTATTTGATTATAATAAAATAGTGATAGGAAGATCACGTTTTTCCTACGTAACACATTCTGTTGAATAATTTATTTTATTGATTGAGTTATGTAAATATCTTCAAAGTTACTCTCCTACCTGGGTCCCTGGATTTGTAACCACAAAAACAACAACAAATCAATACGAAAGAAGTTACTTCTGGTATCTAGAATTGTGGTTTATAATAGGGATCACAAGGAATTGCTCAAAACCCTAATAGAACGTTGGGGCAAAAGCACCTTAAACAGTAATGATTCAGTTCAAACAATACTTTAAAACCTTTACTATTGAATGCTAAGGTTTTACACACATAAAAATGCACAAAAAAGCATACATGTCAGACTTACAAGGAAACGAAAATCTGCTCAAAATGGCTTGGTATATTGCATCCAAACCATTTGTAGAATACTAAATAAGATACTGTGAAGATCGTAGGAGTGTTTAAAAGTCAAT